CCATTAGCATATACAGGCCTCCAGAGAGCCATACAGAATCATTTCTGGGTGTTAACGGGACAGTTCAGTTCTAGAACTATTAGGATGCTAAGTAGCCAACCAATTACTGAGTCCTCTGAATTTCTAATAATACGTTTAATTACATATAATAACATTAATAATTTTGACATTTTCATAGACCAGCCAGTTAACAAAAGTAAATCAAACAGCGAACATTTAACTGACCCGTGGCTTATTTCCTGTTATTGTCATGGGAAATGGTAGGCAAGTGCATATTCTTTAAGAATGAATAAACTACCTCATCCTCTTCCCCACCCCCCAATTCCGAGCATCTTGTGCTGCTGCAGCTCACCTCTAGCCACGGATGCTGGCGCTCTGCATTTGCTGAGTCCCTACGACGGGCCCATTTGGGTGCCTTACACACGCGCTGTCTGTCTGCCTCACACGTCCACACGTCAGAGAAGGGCATGAGGCCTAAAGGGGCCCAGCTGCCGGGCCAGGGGCCCACTTGGTTGCCCCATCTTGCCCACCCCCTCCACGGTGCCCACGTCCAGAAGTGCTGTCTGCTTATGTGCCCTCGCCCCTCCTCACAGGAACTTTGCAGGTTCCCAGCCTTACGCTCCTTCTCTGACTCATGCGTCTTCCATTTGCATGGCACAGAACATCCTACAATTGTACTTACTGCCCTTAGCATTTATTTTCCTGTCTCCCTTTTCCCCAGGACCTTATTCTTTGATGTAGAATATTCGACCACTTCCCACCTCTCAGTACGTTTTCTCCCTGTCACTCAAAATGCACCTTTAAGCCCTCTTTTCTCAGAAACCTATATTGACAAGTTCGAGTCATTCATTCCACAGACACTCAATGATGAGCCCGTGTTCTGTGTCAGGCACCATGCTGGGCTCTGAGGTCACAGTCCCACCATCACGGAGTTCCTGGTCTTTCAGGGAATGAATTCTCCCAACTCTACCCAACCACAAACCAGTTGCTGTCAAGTCAACTCCGACTCATGGCGACCCCATGTGTGTCAGAATAGAACTGTGCCTGCAGGGTTTTCAGTGGCTAGTTTTTTGGAGGTGGATTGCAGGCCTTTCTTCTGAGGCACCTCTAGGTGGACTCAAATCTCCAACCTTTCAGTTGGCAGCCAGGGATTCCCAACCACAATAGAAACATTTCTTCCTTAGCATTCCCCTCAAAATGTCACCCAAACCCTCCTCCCTGACCCTGAGATGAGAACTGTCTGGATCATCACTGTCTGTTCACTGTCATCTCAGGCTCTGAGCTCCCAGAGGTGGGATAAGATTGTCCGCATCCTCCCCAGCCCCCAGGCCCTTCTGATGAGACTTCCTTGTGCTGTATTCACAGGTGACTGCTGGCTGCTGGCAGCCATCGCCTCCCTTACCCTGAATGAAGAAGTCCTGGCTCGAGTCGTCCCCCTAGACCAGAGCTTCCAGGAAAACTATGCCGGCATCTTCCACTTCCAGGTAACTTGGCAGTCGGCTCGAGCTTCTCCACAGGTCCTGGGCGTAGGAACAGGTGCCCTGGTTTGGCCGAGTTCCTTGGTCCCCGCTGTTTGCAGACTCCCGAGACCAGTCTGTTGTATGGAGGGCCCTGGGAGAGAGCAGGAAGCTCCCTGACCGCCTCCGACATGGAACCCGGCAAGGATGGCAGTGGGGAGCCCCTCTGGTCATTGCAAGTAGGGGATAGAGCAGGGTGCTCAAGAATGAATTTGAGTTTCAAAACGAGTTTATTATTTGAGTTCTGAGATGGAACGTTAAGGTATGCCTCACTCTCCTCCCTGGATCCTGGTAAAATAAGAAATAATAATTGAAAATCATAAGGTAGTGGATAGAATGCCAGAAGGCCAGTGGAAGCGAGGGAAGCCCTCAGTGAGGGGGACTGACACGAAAGACTCAACAGTGAAGACGGTGCAGGACCAGGCGTTTCATTCTGTCACACGTCAGGTCGCCAGGAGTCCGAGCGACTCGGCAGCAGCTGACGTGAGGTCGCTAGGGAAGTGGGTGTGGATTAGGAGGCAGTGACGAGCCTCCTGGCCTCAGTTTCTTGGTGAGGACTTGGCTGCCATAGGAGAGTTAGAGGGAGCATCGCCACCGGGGGCAGGGGGTGGGGGGATGGCTCATGGAGGCTGCCCCAAGGGGGCTGGGGCAGGAGGGAGTCCCGTGCTCCCACCCTCCCCCATCCACCCCCTGCCTTGCCTTGTCCCGCAGTTCTGGCAGTACGGCGAGTGGGTGGAGGTGGTGGTGGACGACCGGCTGCCCACCAAGGATGGGGAGCTGCTCTTCGTGCACTCAGCAGAGGGGAGTGAGTTCTGGAGCGCCCTGCTGGAGAAGGCCTACGCCAAGTAAGTGATCACAGCCCTGCCCTTCGACTGCCCACCCTCAACTCCGAAACAGCAGGAAACGTTCACGGACTCCTGTGAACAGAAGTCCTACCCTACAGAAGGAATACTTGGCCAAAATTGGGCTCTAAATGTAAGAGAAAGCATGCAAGGTGCCTGGTTCATGTCCCACCCTGAAGAATGACAGCCATAGCCATTTTTAACCAAATACACAGGAACAAGTTCGGGTAGAGGCTGTGCTGGCCTTGAGGAGGAACTCTGCTTCCTTGGCAGGTCATATTACAGTTTTTTCCACTAAAGACAGCAAAGAGTCTTTGCCAGTGGGCAAAACTACCCATTGCAGAAGTATGAAAAGTATGGAAATTTGCCCAGAATATAAGGCCTCTGGGTGGTAAAAACGGTTTGCACTCGACTAATCGAAAGGTTGGCAATCTGAAACCACTCAGTGGTGCCATGGAAGAAAGGCCTGGTGATCTGCTTCTGTAAAGATTACATCTAAGAAAACCCCGTGGAGCTTAGTTCTAGTCTATAACACAGGGGCTCACTATAAGTCAGAACTGACTCAACGACAAGGGGTTTGGTGGGGGTTTTTTTGGCGTAGAATTATGGTGTCGCTGATAGAAATGGATGGAGCCCTGGTGGCTCAGTGGTTAAGAGTTTGGCTGCTAACCAAAAGGTCAGAAGTTCGAATCCACCAGCTGCCCCTGTTCCACTCTGTTCTATAGGGTTCCTATGAGTCAGAATCGACTCAGTGGCAATGGGTTTGGTTTTTGGTTTTGATAGAAATGGCTCCCCCATGCCCCTCCCAGCTGTTTCCACCCAGGTTGCCCAAAGTTGCTCAGAGCTGCCCAGGCAGGGAAGCCCCACATCAGCCCTCTCCAGGATGGCCTAGTCTGACCATGCTGCCGGGGTCCCTCCATCAAAGTGACAGACTCTAAGGCATAGGGCAAATTTCTGTTCTCACAGCCCTATGCCAGGAAGCAGGGGTCAGGAGTCACACATCCAGCTGTGAGAACCTGGGACCTGAGGGCCGGCTCCTCCTCCGTGGTCGGGAGCACTCAGCCCCTGCCCACGTGGTGCCTACCTCCGTGGGAAACTGCCTGTGTTATTGGACTGCTGTCTTACTTGAAGCTCTTAATGCCAAATCGTCATTTAGCCAACCTCCCCTTTGCTGTCAGGATGTGGAAAGGATCGATAGGCACACTTGGGAGGTTGGACCAGATAATTACCAAGGTCCTTCCAACTCTAAGACTGTGAGATTTTTTAAAAAACTTCTCCAAGTACCAGGGAAGTGGTAACTGTGGAGACAGTAACTCCCCTTCATGGGCGCTCTGAGGAGACACAAAGCCCAGAAGAATCTGAGCAGAGGGTCCCTGCGGTGTCAGACCGACACGAGTTGTCGAGAGGAGGCCCCTCTGAGAGGCAGTTGGGCCAGCACTGTCAGCCGCAGCGTCTCTTCCCCTCTCGTAGGATCAATGGGTGTTACGAAGCGCTTTCAGGGGGCGCCACCACTGAGGGCTTTGAGGACTTCACTGGAGGCATCGCTGAGTGGTACGAGTTGAAGAAGGCCCCTCCCAACCTTTTCAAGATCATCCAGAAGGCTCTGGAGAAGGGCTCTCTCCTCGGCTGCTCCATTGATGTGAGTCCAGGCCTCCGCCCTGTCACCCCACCCCCAGTCTGCTCTAGCTGCGGTGAGGCCCCAGAGACTAAGGAAATGCACTGCCCCTATTTACACTAGCCCGGCCCGGCCCACCATACTGCTCATCATGGCACCAAGGGAGCCAACAGCCAGGCCCTCTGGGGTGATAGTGCCTCCAGCGCTTTCCTCCCCTGCCCTTTTCACCATCCTCAGCCTCCTCCGAGTAACGGCCCCAGACCACAGGTTCCCTGAAAGCCCCCTGCCCACTGCTAGTCCTGAAGGAAGGACTGCCCGGGACATGCCCTCCTCCACCTGCAGGCCTGCGCCTGAGCCCCACAGCCTTCCCCTCGCTGTGTTCCAAGATGAATGGGCCTGTGGAAAGACTTCAGAACACGCAGAAAGAAATCATTTCCTCATAATAGCTGTGCTGGCAGACCTCACCAAGGGAAGGAGTTGGACACCATGTTCTGGCCCCAAGGAGCCTGGAGGCAAAAGCTGTGTCCAGTACCCTGCGCCCTGTCCCATCCAGGAACTGATCCCCGAGGGGACAGAGATGAGATATTCTGGCTTTTAGGGCCGAAATCTGTCAGACTGTAGGCAGAGATTCTCAAAGTTTTGTTGCAGACCAAGGCAAGGCAAAAGGCCCTTTGTACTCTCAGCGCTTCTTCCCATATACCAAGAAATAACAGCCTTCTTCAGAATAGATGGGAGAAGGAGTGGTTTTGAGGTGCTTCTAGTACAACAGAAGCAAATTCAGAACTCGGGCCCTAAACAAAGAACTGTCCTAGTGTACACCATGCGGCTAGGCTAGGCCAGACCCGGGAGCCTGGGGAACTGGCACAGGTGGGGGTCTTCCTGTGCCCAGGGCACCCCCGAGGTCCCCACCCCCAGGTGTGAATGCACCTTTCACACGTTAATGATGGCGGGCCCAGTGCCTCCCCCAGACGGCTGCAATTAGGCTTTCGTCCTGTTGTTAATGGCGTTTCCGCGCCGGAAAGCAGCAGCAGCAGCTGGGGTCCTCCAGGTGTCGGAGAGCGCAGCCTCTTCCTCCGCCGGGGCCGCGCCACCCCCGTAGTGCGTGCGTCCCGAGTCACCCCTAGCGTTTGCGATGTCTGGGGTGGGGCAGGTGTGAAGGAGGGAGGCGGCGGCGGCGGCCGGGACTGATTTTCTCTCGGTTCGCAGATCACCAGCGCTGCGGACTCGGAGGCCGTCACGTTCCAGAAGCTGGTGAAGGGGCACGCGTACTCCGTCACCGGAGCCGAGGAGGTAACGCCCGGCGGGGATGTTCAGGGGTCTTTCTCTCCCTAACACGAAGGCCAAAAGCACATTTTGGCCTGTGGTTGCGCAGGGTGGGACCCGCGCATTACCACGGTACCGTTTCGAAACAGGCCTCGCGTTCCTGATGTTCAAACGGGAATACGACGTTCCTTCCGGAGCCAGGCCCGGCCAAGCGCGGCGTGCTGCCCTCTGGTGGCTGCAGAGTTCTGCTCGGGGGCTGTTGCTTTACTTGTTTTTGTACTGACAGTCTTACTTTTCTGGGCCAACTAGTAAAAATAACAGGATAGTATTTTGTATCTGCATAGTGTTTTGTACGCCTTAAGGTGCCTTCACGTTCCGTCTCACACAAGCAGTTGCCTCTAAACCCAAGCTGCCCGCTTGCAAAGCTGGCTCAGCCTCTTTCCAGCTGTGGGGCCTCGGCACGTGCTTAAGATGGAAATAATAATAATCATATATCCCTCCTGAGGTTGTGGTGGCGATTAAATCACGTTAATATGTGTAAAGTGCTTGCACAATGCCTGAGGATTCTTGCTGTTGCGGTTACTATTCTTAATGTTAAAATTATTAAGCAGCCCACAGTCAGTGCTAATTACAAGACCTAGCGGAGACACCAGGTCTTCAACATGTCCGGTGCTTTTGTTCATGTTAGAATTTTTTTTACTGCCACCTCATCTTCTGATTCTAAAAAAGCAAATGGCTGAAGTATGCTAGTTACAGTGAGGCTTATAAAGAGTAGAATAGAAGGTCAGCCACTGGCTAATCTTAACATGATTGACTGAACCCTTTTACTAAGATCAGTTGATACCAGATTCCTAGGTGGTCTCTGGCCTGGCAGCTAAAAAATTTGGCCCTCCACACACCTGCAGCATGAAACCTTTTGAAATGTGAATTAAATAAGCCTAGACTCTTTTTCATCAAATCACCAGAGGTGATGATTTTCCTGTTGACTGCCCTTCAAACCCTCTGCGGGAGAAAGAGGCGGCATTCTGCTTCCTAAAGATTACTGCCCTGGAAACCCTGTGGCGCAGTTCTGCTCTGTCCTGAGCGGTCGCTGTGAGTTTGGAATCGACTGCGGGTTTGGGCTTGGGCTCTTCCAACAGGAAAGAAAAGTCCGTGATCTGCTTTGGGTGAAAAAAAACAGACCAGCGAAACAGCAGGCAGGATTAATTTGGGGTCAGGAATTTTTAGGTGCCTGGATAAGAAAAGCCTCTTGAAATAAAAAGAAAATGTCTATTTTTAATTTAAAAAAATTCATTCCACATACCCAAGATAATGAACATTAATTCAGTAACATCATCTAATATACAGTCCCTATTTAAATTTTTGCGGTTGCCCGAAAATGTCTTTTCTAGCACACCCCGACCCAGAATTCAGATTCATGCACTGCATTTACCTCCTACCACCAGGGTTTTTGTTTGAATTGTTTTGTTGTGGTAGAAATACATATACCAAGCCATTTGACAATTCAACATTTTTTACATGTACACTTCAGTGACAGTAATTACATTCATCATGTCGTACAGCCATCACCATTGTCCATTGCCAGATTTTTCTACCACCATTAACGGAAGCTCAGTGCCCCCTAAGCAATGACCCCTCCCTCCCTCCCACCCCTACTGACCACTAATAAACTTGGGTTTCTTATACACTTACCTATTCTAGAGAGTTCATATAATTGGGATCATACGATGTTTGACCTTTTGTGACGGACTGATTCACTCATCACTGTGTTTTCAGGGTTCATCCCTGTTGTGGCCTGTGTCAGGACTTCACTTCTCTTTGTGGCTGAGCAGTGTTCCATTGGATGGATGGACCACACCTTGTTTATCTGTTCGTCTCTTGATCGGCGTTTCAGTTGTTTCCATTTTGGCCTGCTGTTAACAGGGGTGTAACTTTTGATAAGTAGTAAGGCTTCCCTGAACTCCTATGATAAAAGTGCATCTTACTATATTCAGTTAAACTAAGGTTCCCAGAGGTCAAGTGCCAAAGCCTAGTCTAGAAGGAGTATGTTTGTGCCTCAGACTCAGGACGAAGGTGAAGAAGCCACGAGCCCCATCCTGGCCACTCTAAGCCCACCTTCCAAAGCTGGGCTGCAGGGAGTGGCCCGGAAGTCAAACCCCCCAGGACCTGTGGAAGGTGGCTTTGAACCTTAGTCACTCCAGGCCTGGCTCAGCTCTCTTTCATCTGATCCTTTAGGTTGAAAGCAATGGAAGTCTGCAGAAACTGATCCGCATACGGAATCCCTGGGGGGAAGTGGAGTGGACTGGGAAGTGGAATGACAAGTGAGTAGTTTTGGCAGGTTGGGGGGCCAGGGAGAGGTGCTGAGGGAAAGCAGCAGGGGTGTGTTCTGCCTGGGAGGCTCTGGTAGATGAAGAGGGAGGAGACACGTGTGCTGTGCTGAGGAACGAGGGCCCAGATTCACAGGCCACATTAGTGGGACACGTAGGGCAGGCGACACTCTCTAATAAAGGTCTCTTAACCAGTGCTGTTGGAGTCCCTGGGTGGTGCAAACATTTAACATACTCGGCTGTTAGCCAGAAGGTTGTCGGTTTGAGTCCACCTAGAGGCACCTCGGAAGAAAGGCCTGGTGATCTACTTCCGAAAACTCAACCATTGAAAACCCTATGGAGCACAGTTCTACTCTGATACACATGGGGTTGCCATGAGTCGGAGTCAACAGTAACTGGTTAGCCAGGGCATGACTTCTGCCAGTTGGGGGGCCCAGGGCCCCTGGGGTGCTGGTTCCTTTCACTCATGGTTAATCCCTTCTCTAGATCAGATTCACCTTTCTCACCCCAAACACTTGTTCTAGTCCAGGGATATGAACTTTTGTGCCAAAGACCAGAGAGAAGTTCCTCTGTTGCTTTCTGGAATTTACTGGAAGGCCTGTTATACCTTTAAATTTGGGGTACTATCTCATTTGAAAGAAGCCCTGGTGGCACAGTGGTTAAGCACTCAGCTGCTAACTGAAAAGTCAGTGTTTCGAACCCACCAGCTGCTTCGCAAGAGAAAGATGTGACAGTCTGCTTCCGTAGATTTACAGCCTGGGAAACCCTGTGGGGCAGTTGTACCCTGTCCTATGGGGGCCTGTATGAGTTGAAATCAACTCAGCGGCACACAACAGCAACATTTCGTTCGAGCTTCTCTCATCCGTGACTTTCCTCCTGCTCCTCCTCCCCTCCTCCTCCACAGCCCAGCACCTACAGTTCTTCCCTGGCAACCTCTGCTACGGCAGAGACACCCCGCCGAGCTTCAGGCCAGCTCTGCAAGACGCTTCTCAACAGATTTTCAGTTGCCCCTAAAAGAGCTGCCAGGCCCATCTCAGGTTGGGCGACTGAAGCTACTCTGTCTCTCTCTGAGGGCTGTGTTCATGTTCTGGTCTCTTCCTTACCACCACCTTCCAGGACGCTTCATCCTCTCACCTTCCTCCCCGGAGGCGCTTAGCCTCACGTGTGCTCCCTGCCCCCTCGCTGTGTCTGGGCCCTCAGGGTGAGAGGGGGTGTCCTCGTTCTCAGCTCTGAGGGGCCTCAGGGAGAAGCCATAGCCCCCACCCCTTTCTCATGCCTCCCCCGTTACTTTGCTTTCCAGCTGCCCAAACTGGGACACTGTAGACCCAGAGGTGAGGGAGAGGCTGACCAGACGGCATGAAGACGGAGAATTCTGGTAAGAGGCATAGAGGTCCGGGAAAGATGTGTCTGCCTGGGTTTTTTACTAGAAGGCTCAAAAAGGAATGTGAACCAGAGTGAGATTGTCATGTTGAGGGCAGAGGGGCATGGGATCCTGGCGTGTGTGTGCGTGTGTGTGTGTGTATACAAAAAAATTCTTAAATGTAATTGTCTTCAACGTGTCCATCTGAGGAATTGGATTTCAAAGCGGAGCAGCTTCATTAAGAAGGCTAAGAGGAAGTCCTGGATGCATGTTCAGATTCCAGGAGAAAACAAGGGGCAAGATGGGGCTTCTCCCAACCTGCACCTGGAGATTCATCCCCACCCCTTAAGAAACTGGCCTCTTAGTGAGCAGTGATGTACCCGTACGTCTGTGTGTCTGTGTGTGTGTGTCTGTCACTCTGCGGACCATCTACATCTGAACAGGACCTGCAGTTTACCAAATGAGTCTCCACATATCACCTTCTGTGTGCTCATGGCTCCCATTCTTGCAGATGAGAGCTTTGAGCTTCAAAAAGGTCTAAGTAATTTGTGCAGAGTCACCCAGCTAGAAAGGGGCAGAGCGGACTGGAAGTTGGGTCTCCTGCTTCTGGATCCAGTGTCCATTGGCCCCAAGGGACTGCTTCCTGGCTGATCTTTGGTGGAAGGTCAAGGCTTACCAATGTGTCCTCTTGTAAGCCAGGGATGCCCGTGTCTGCTTTTACCAGGATGTCTTTCGGCGACTTCCTGAGGCACTATTCCCGCCTGGAGATCTGCAACCTGACCCCTGACACTCTCACCAGTGATTCCTACAAGAAGTGGAAACTCACCAAGATGGATGGGAACTGGAGACGAGGCTCCACTGCGGGAGGCTGCAGGAACTACCCGAGTAAGGCCTGTTGCCACATGGGGCCCCCAGAGGCTGAGGCACCCTCCCCTACACTGGGCGCTGCACCCCAGCCTGGCAGCCCAGAGGAGGCAGCTCCTCCTCACTAGGACCCTCTCTGTTTCCTTCTTGCTGAGCCTCGGTCTCACCACCTTCTCTGTATTCTCAGCTTCATTACCTTCTGCATTCACTTGCCTCCCCACCCAGGCAGAACCTTGCTCTTTCTGGGATGTCGTCTCCAGGCACTAGAGTCCCCTGTGCCCTCTGAGGCAGTGCTTCATGCCCCTGCTCTACTTCATCCACCCTAAGCCAGGCAGCCTAGCCTGCAGGGAACCTCGCCCACTGCGCCCTTCGGGCCCTCTGCACATTGTTGACAGAGCCCCTGTTCAGATGAGGGTGGGGAGTTCCCTCTGGCTGTCTTTTGTTGATTCCTTGACTCTTCTGCCTTAACAGCTCAGCCCTCCCCTGCCCTCTCTCCCTCAGAAATTTAGCTGCCATTATGGAGCGCATGTTGGATTCTAGGAACTTTCCTAACTGCCTTATGTACATAATTCCGTTTCCTCTCCACAACAGATTTCTGAGGTAGGCAGTTTCTTATCATCTCCATCGTTAAAGATGAGGGAACTAAGGCTTGCAGAGGCTGAGTGACTTCCCCAAGGCCTCACACTTAATAAGCTTGGATTTGAACCCAGGCAGTGTGACTATAGAGTCTACTCTTAAGTACCATGAAAGGCAGGTCATGGTCATGTACTGATTCTCTGTCACAGGTGAAGAGACTGAGACTCTAAGTGGCTGACCAGGTCCACAAAGCAAGTAGTCAAACTGGGACCAGCTGACTAGTGCCTCTAGGTCTGGTGCTCTTACTCCTTCACCTCAAGTATGTAGCCACCAAGTGGTGGTTTCAGAGGTGCTGAGAAGGCCGTCCCCTCACACACAATATATACCTCCTCCTCTGCCCACTAAGTCAGAGGTTGGCAAACTCTGTAAAGGGCCAGATGGTAAATATTTTCCGCTTTGCAAGCTATTCAGTCTGTAGCTATTCACAGCTACAGGCCATTCAGTCTCTGCCGCAACTACTCGGCTCTCCTGTCGTAGCCTGAAAGCCACAGAAACTAATGTCTGTGGCTGTGTTCCAATAAAACTTTATTTACAAAAGCAGACAGCAATCCACAGGGCTATAGTTGGCCGACCTGACCCCTGCATCAGATGAGTCCTCAATTAGAGTTTTATCCCATTAGATGAGGGAAGGCCATCAGCATAATTACTCTTAAACATGAATGAATCTCAGATCCTTCCTATAAACGAGTTTTGGAAGTGGGGAGGGCAGAGATACCATGAGGGCGGGCAAGGGATAGGCCTGAGAAAACAAGGGACCCAGAACAAGAGGCAAAACAGCCACAGGATGTTCATAGCCTCTGGGTGCACCGAGTAGCTAGTGTGAAGGGGAAAAGACGGCCCTGGGCCTCCTCAGGCCAGGTCAGCCTGGCCAATCTCTGACCTTCCCTTGAGAGCCCTTGAGGGGAAGTTACCACTAGGAGGAGCCACAGCTTAGTTGAAGGAAATCTGCCCTTAACACTCCAACCACGCTGCCTTCCAAGGTGGCACGAACAGTCCCCAAGACAAGTCAGCCTGAAAGCAAGAGAGAGGCTGAAGGGGGCTCTCTATGTTAGGTCCCCATGAGACTCGGACAAGAGCAGGCAATCCTCTCTCCTCAGCCCACCATCGCCCCTTCCCACCCAGACAGGGCTGCCACCAAGTCCCCACCTTGACTGGTCCCACCGTCACCCCTTGATCATCTTCCAGCAGACTCCAACCCCGGGGACAGGGGGCCCCCTCAGAGCTCCCCCTCCCCCACACAGTGACCAATGGCCACCTCTTCCCGCTCAGGGCTGGGCTCCTCTACCCCAGGTGGCTGACCTTGGCCCCTCTCTGGCTGCAGATACTTTCTGGATAAACCCTCAGTACGTGATCAAGCTGGAGGAGGAGGACGAGGACCAGGAGGACGGGGAGAGTGGCTGCACCTTCCTGGTGGGCGTGATTCAGAAGCACCGGCGGCGGCAGAGGAAGATGGGGGAGGACATGCACACCATCGGCTTTGGCATCTATGAGGTGGGGCGATGGAGCGTCTGCTTCCCATCTGCCTTTGCTCTTCTCAGCCCCTGCGTGGAAGGCCAACCCCAGAGCAGAACTAGGAGACAGGGAGCTTGGCCAAGGGAAAGAAGGCCATGGCCTGGCCAGTCTTTAGGAGAACCTCATGTCCCTGAAGCTGGTCTGTGTCACCTTTCAGGGGTTCCATGCCCTTGGCCGGGCCCCTACAGCCAGCTTCCTGGGAGTTGTTGTTAGCTGCTGTCAAGTTGGCCCCCCGACTCCTGGTGACCCCATGCACAATGAAACAAAACACTGCCCCGTCCTGTGTCATCCCCATGATCGGTTGTGGATAAGAACATTGATCCATAGGGTTTTCACTGAATGATTTTCGGAAATAGATCGACAGGCCTTTCTTCCTAGTCTGTCTTAGTGTGGAAGCTCCACTGAAACCTGTTCAGCATCATAGCAACCTGCAAGCCTCCACTGACAGAAGTCCTCCTTAAAATGGCCTGCCTCCATGTGCTTTCTTGCATCTCCAGCCCTGGTCTTCTGGTTTACCCACAAATCTCAAAAAACAACAGGAGACCTAAGCTGAGAACAGAGTGTCCTGGACCACGGCGGGAACTGTTGTGAGGACAGGAACTGAGCCAGCAGGTCCAGCGTGTCCCAGCCAGCAGAGTCATTGGCCTGGAAGGTGGCGAGCTCAGGGGACGGGAACAATCAATGGTTATGCTCCCGCCAGGGCTCCACTGGCCGGGTCCCTGTGCCCCACACAGACACGCTGTCTGCCTGCAGTTCCTTCTCTCCTTCTCTACCAAGTTAAGAGAAGCAAGCCCCATCCGTGCAGTCAGAGGGAAGCCACATTATTGGCACCTCAGGCCGAGGGCTGGGCAGAGAGAACTGATCATGGAGCTGGGCCCTGTACCCTCCCCACTCCCCTCTGCAGAACACAGAAGAGCTTCTCACAGCCTTGGGTTAGCAGCAGGGAGGAAGGGAGCAAGGAAGACTTAGAGCATCTGAAGTGGGGTGCATGTTGGTTTAATGGGTGGCTCCTGAGAGCTGAATGTGCTGTTCTCCCCACGCCATGCACAGTGAGGTCACATCGGCAGCCTGCGAACCACGTGGTAGGAGTATTTACACCACAGAAATTGGAAGATACTACAAATCAGGGCTCCCACCCCACCCTACAGCCAGCTTACCAGCACCCCACTACCCGTGTGTGCCAGACCAGGTGTTGGGGAGAAGCTCTCCACACACATCATGACTGGCAGTGTGATACCTGTTCACCCACCTGAGGAAGGGGGTTGAGCAAGAGTTGGGCGAAAATGCACATAATTCCATCAGTGCTTAAATGTACATAATTCCAAACCCTTCGGTCCCTGAAATAGACGCTGAGGACTTCAGATCCTGGGACACAATAGTTCCACGGGAAATTCAGACTGAATCGTGAGACACAGCCTCGCCCCCATCCCTGGCTTAGAAATCCAGTCACGGACTTTCCGAGCCGGGAAGGACCTGTGACATTTGGTCCCATTTTAGAGATAAGGAAACCAAGGCTAGAGAGGGGAAGTGATTTGCTGAAGGCAGTACAGGTTAGATGTGCAGACAGAGGCCTAGCACTGCCTCAGCTGCTGGCTCCTCCTGCAGAGCACCTCCCCGTGGCCCTGCTGCATCCTCTGACTGGGTGGGTTCCCCTGGGTGGGGGCAGGGTGGGGACTCTGCTACAGCTGCTGGCTGACCTTAGACAAGTCACTTCCATCTCATGCCCCAGTTTTATGCTCTATAAATTGAGAATGGTGGTGAGGAAGGGCCCATCCACAGTAGTACTGGCCCATAAGATTTTTTTTTTAATGTAGAAATGCTTTGAGTTCCTTGGAAAACAATGACTGTGTTGATTTGGTTAATACTGCTAAAGCTACAGAGAAAAGGGGAGAGCAAAAGAGACAGTTGAAGTGATGGCATTGTTGTATGCAGCCTTCCCCAAGTCTGAGTCAAGTGTTGGTCTCCTTTCTCTTGGCAGGTTCCGGAGGAGGTACGTCTGACACAGGTCAGCCCCTGTCCCTGGGGGCCCAGGACCACCAGCAGATGAGAGGCTCGGGCTGCTCAGGAAGTATCAGGAAGCTTGGGCGGGGCTGGTGGCTGTGAAGGAGGAGTCCTGCCCCTCTGGGGCCCCAGGAGGTTGCTCAGGTCCAGCTGGTCTAAGTCCCAGCAGAGCCCACACGTGGTGGGGTTCCAGGTAGACAGCCCATGGTCCCAGGACTGTGAGAGGCTACTCAGGGAGTCCTGCGTAGCTCTCAAAACGAGCCCAGAGGGAAGAGATGAACCTGCAGACCGTGCTGCAAGACAGTGTGGGAGCCCTGGAGAAGAGACCTGGACCCACTTAATTCCCAGCTCTCCCACTTGTAGGCTGTGTGTCCTTGGACAAGTTACATATCCTCTCTGGTCTTTAGTTTCTTTTTCAGTGAAACTGGGCAATCATGCCGCTTCACCCGATTATTGTGGGGATTAAATAAACTATATGAGTTAGTTAGTAGGTCCACGGAGCCCTGGTGCTCAGTGGCTAAGAGCTCGGCTGCTAACCAAAAGGTTGAGAGTTCGAATCCACCAGCTGCTCCTTGGAAACCCTATGAGGCAGTTTTACTCTGTCCTATAGGGTCGCTGTGAGTCGGAATCGACTCTGCGGCAACGGGTTTGGTTGTTTGGTTTCGCTATCAGGCTAGCTGTGATCCAGACTTCGTCACTGCAATCCTTTGATCTCTGGGAGTGAAAATGATACTGATCTGGAGCCTTTCTCCCTCTGCTCTCCCTTATCTCTCTGCTCGTTCACCAGTTAATTGGGCAGACCAACATCCACCTCAACAAGAACTTCTTCTTGACACACAGAGCGCGGGAGCGCTCGGACACCTTCATCAACCTTCGGGAGGTGCTCAACCGCTTCAAGCTGCCTCCAGGAGAGTATATCCTGGTGCCGTCCACGTTTGAGCCCAACAAGAATGGGGACTTCTGCGTCCGGGTCTTTTCTGAAAAGAAAGCTGACTACCAGTAGGTGGTTTTGTCCCCTCCTCTCCCCACCCTCCCGGTTCCTTCCTCTGGTCTGTTCCCTGTTACTCCTCTGAACATTCCTTTCTTTATCATCCCTACCGGCTTCAAAGGGTGAGCGTGGGCATTTGGTATGGAAGGATTTTTAGTGTTAAACTCAGGGAAGCAAAGAAAAAAGCCACTCAAGAATATTTTTTATTGGAAGAGGGCGGTTGGCCCATTGTAGAGTGAATTGTAGAATCTGATCTCACAGTTGTGTCTCTGAATTTTCAAGCTGTTACTGTATTTTCATTTTGATGATCTCTGTTAGATTAGCTGTGGAGCCTTGGTGGCACAGTGGTTAAGAGCTCGGCTGCTAACCCAAAGGTCGGCAGTTCGAATCCACCAGCCACTCCTTGAAAACCCCACGGGGCAGTTCTTCTCCGTCCTGTAGGGTTGCTGTGAGTCGGAATCGACTTGATGGCAATGGGTTTGGTTAGTTTGGTTTGGGTATTAGATGCTGGGCAGTGGTGGTATAATCCTTGCTTTCCCAGGCCACTGACCTCAGAGAACCACCAAGGGTGTGACAGTCTCAGCGGTCTCTGTCTCCAGAACCTCTCCCCGTTATAGTCACAGGGCTCCAGGTCCCTTCCTTCCTCGTTGGACCCCAGCTGTTTGGGAATCCTTTCTGGCTGATGTCACAGTTTCCTGCACTGTCAGCATGGCCTCTGCTCCGTTGCTGATGGCCTCAATTCACAGTGGCTCCGCCACTTTGGCTGCTGCCTCAACGGTGGATATTCAGCTGGACACTTGACTGCAAGGGACAGAATCACCCCGGGGCGACTTCAACAAAAGGAAGTTCACTGAAAGGCCTTTGTGGACTCCAGAGCTGATGGGAGACAAGATGGGGCATGGCAGGAACCAGGGAAGCGCAGGCGGGCCTGGGCGTGGGAAGTAGGGAGCGTAGCAGCTGCTGTGCCCCCTCTGTGGGGGCGTGGTGGTTCAGTGGTAGAATTCTCACCTTCCATGCGGGAGACCCAGGTGTGATTCCTGGCCAGCGCACCTCAGTTAAAGCCACTAGCTGTCTGTCGGTGGAGGCTTGCATGTTGTTACAATGCTAAACAGGTTTCAGTGGAGCTTCCAGACTAAGACAGACTAGGAAGAAAGGCCGTCAACTTCCAAACATCAGCCAGTGAAAACCCTGTGGGTCACAATGGTCTGATTTGTAGCCAATCGTGGATGCAGGACCGGGCAGCCTTTCATTCCATCGTGCATGGGATCGCCATGAGTCGGGGTCTGACTCAATGGCAGTAACAGGTCACCTCTGACCTTACGCCCCTTGCTCAGATCCAAAGAACCAGTGCAGTGTGTCTGATGGGCCAGGGTCACATCAGCCTCCCAGCCTGCTGGCTTCTAGAGAGGGAGGAGGGCAACGGGAGGTAGAAGCAGGGAATTACCCTTGTTCCCAGACAAAGCACGATACAAAAGTGATTTCTCTTGAGGAAACGGAGGTGCTGTCAAGGACAGGAAACAATACTGGGCAGCTGCAAACCAATAAATGTCACTGCGGCCTGGCCACAGCTTTCCTGCACTGATGACTCTGTTGTAAAGCTTGTCCAGGGGGAGGGGCCTTCCTCCTCAGCTCATATCGGGATCCTTTGGAAGAAGCCTGGTATGTTCAGCTTACTGTCCCCGCTGTCCTGTGGCAACTCAGTACTGCCCCTCCCTGCCAACTGCAAGCCACTCTCCCACAGAAGCCACGACCCTCTCAGCTCTCCCGTTCTTCAGAGCGAGCTCCCTACTTCGGTAGGACGGCCCCCCACAAAGATGTCTTACTTCCTTCATCCCAGGATATTAATCCTCTGTTCCAGATTCCAACTGCCAGCACCAAGAGGTCCCTTCTGTTTTCTTCTGTGAGGCATTGGTGCTGCAGAGAGGGCCCTTGGTAGCCTGGGTTAAGATCCAGGGGCTGTGTGCGGGGATGACCTACCCACTACCTTTGCTTCCGTTGAGCTTCCACAGGGGCCTCCACGCTGCCTGCCTTCTCTAGCCTTAGAACAAGTAGGCATAGTGTGCTTCTCAGTATAAACGTTTTTCTGTGGTAAAGAGTGTTTCAAATGGAACGTAAAAGCTCTTCCTTGAAAACAAGAACTGAGTGAATTGTCTCGATTGTGCCCCAAACTAGCAAACAAAAACAAAATCTCCAACTTCCTAAGTTGTCTTGGCCTGAAAACTCCTTTGGATCGTTTTTTGCCTTAATTTCTGCTACGTAGGGGAAATGTTGCCCTAGAAACTTAGGATGCAGAGTAATCCCCCACTCCCACCCCCTGCTGGATGTTAACTTTGCACCTCATCTCAACAAGGTTCTCTGCAGCACTTCCTTTCCTCCCTTCCACTAACGCGTACCATTTCCTTCTGCTTCCAGAGTCGTCGATGATGAAATTGAAGCCAACCTGCAAGAGGTACTTGGAACTCCGTGGATTCCAGCCACTCTGGCATGGACAGCCCAGAGATCAGAGGAGCAAAACACAATCCCAAGGGCTTAAAGGGGCCCCTTGGGCTTTGTGAGCACAGCTTGGAACTAGGGATACAGCTGTTTGCCCTGGGGATCAGGGTCTGCTTCCTGCACTGGCTCTGGCCACTGTGTGGGGGTCTGGGCCTGTCCTTTGCCCGTTGGAGCAGTTGACCCTGTGCACGTGAGGGGATGTTAAGGATGCGACCTCAGTGCTACACAAAGGGCTCCCCTTTCTCATCCATAAAGGAAAGCTGGAAGACATGATTTCTCAGATTCCCTAAAGTTCCAAAAGTTGTGATTCAGTGAAGAATCCTGAAGGGCTTTTAGGGGTACAATTTGGGAACTTCGGACTAAGCCCAACCTTAACAGATCCAGAGTCAAGGGAGGAAAGCACCCCACACTGAGGAATTACATGAGACACCTTCTCTCTCTGTCGCAAGGCCCGAGGGGCTAGATAACATCGACTCTTTAGTTGCTGAAGCTCTGTGCTTGTCATGTGGATTGAATAAGAGACCCAACAATTTCAAAGGGTCCCATGGGCTGTGCTTACTAGCCACTGTCAGAATTCTTCCAGAACGTTCCAGTAAGGCTTTGAGCTTCCGAGTCCCCATTACCAAACAAAACCAAACCCATTGCCGTCGAGTTGATCTGACTCACAGCAATCCCATAGGACAGAGCAGAACTGCCCCACAGGGTTTCCAGGGAGCAGCTGGTGGATTTGAACTGCCGACCTTTTGGTTAGCAGCCAGATGCTTAACCACTGCACCACCAGGGCTCCGAGTCCCCATTAGAGTAGATCATAAAAGGCAATTTTGGTTGGATGTTAGAGAAGATACCTGTTGCGAGAAATTAGAGTATAACTCCTTCCCACATTGTTTATATTCCCTCTTATGTGTTTTAACTAGAAAAAAATTATGATTAATTTATCGCCATGAAGGGGAGAGGAGGCCGCCTGGAAGGGAGAGCAGGCGGCTGGCTGTCACTCTTCGCTCTGAGCCATTGTTCCTATTTCTGTGTTTCACCTTCCAGTTTGACGTCAGCGAGGATGACATTGATGATGGATTCAGAAAGCTGTTTGCCCAGCTGGCAGGGGAGGTAGGTGTTCCAGAAATCTCTACGTTAGACGTACTCGTTGACGCAAAGGAAAACATGGTCATTGTCCCCAGAGAGGCTTCAGTTTAAACAGACTCAACAAAAGCAAAGAAGAATCGCAACTGTAACTCGGATTTCAGCTCAGACCCCTAGCCCATGTCCTCCCCGTGACTGTGCACATGGCCGGGGTGTCCATTGTCATGGTCAGCTTGTGGCTGTTTATTTTCTCTGGTCCATGCTAGCTGAGGCATGGAACGTGGCCCCTTATCGTTGATTTCCACAAAAGCAAGCCAATCGTGTATAAGCATTTGGGGGGCCAGAAGGACTTCACACCACAAGAATGCAAACAAAACAGTATTATATGTCCCATTCTTAAAAAATCCCTCAGCGGTTTACACTGCAGTCCCTGCAAAGCTATTCAGCCCTTTTCCCAATGGCTCCAAGAAAAAAACCTTCTTCTTTATATAGAAGAATTTAGAATTTAGCTTTCTCCGTTGAACTCATCCAAGCCTCCCTTCGTTTAGCCAAATTATCGAAGTGCTAAACCCGGTGCCATCTGCTCCACGGTCCCACCTGCCTTCCTTTCCCTCCCACCAGTTTCTCAAGGGACAGGGCCATTACAGAGACTTACTGCCCCACTGCTATGAATTATGTACACACACACCCCAAAAAGGTAAAAATGACTACAAATCAATCTTGGTTTTATACAATGGAGTTTGTTTCTCATTTTCACAAGTGTGCGTTTAAGTGAATAGCGGTGCCTGGGCCCGTTCTCAGGATCCCTCACTCAGGGCTGTAGATGGGGCTGGGTCAGTTCTCGGAGGCAGCTCGTTTTTACGTTTTACAGGAAGCCTGAGATCTGGGTTCTCCAGGAAGAAGAAGCCTTGCCGGTGGGGAGGAGTGGGGTGAGAGAACTAAGTCAGATAAGACCACAAATATGGGTGGAGTGGACAATTAATTCTTTATGTTCTCTAAAGCAAAGAAACCTTGACTGAACTCCACCCAGAGCACGCTGTTCACTAACACAGACAAATGGGCTGTGGCAGTGCTGCTCAGAGCGTGGTCGGCAGGTCAGCATCCCTGGGGGCTTGTTAGACCTACCTGCTGCACCTGGCACAGGGCCTGGGCAGGTGGCCGTTACACGTCTGCTGCCCTGGGCTTCCCCGAGCGCCCACAGGGGTGAGTAACTGCTCTGCTTGCATGTCCACAGGACGCGGAGATTTCTGCCTTTGAGTTGCAGACCATCCTGAGAAGAGTTCTAGCAAAGCGTAAGTATCCCGTTTGCCGCTGCCTCCTCCTACTCCTCGTGGGTGGGAGGGAAGACGGGACTCCTTCCTCTTCCATGCAGTGGCCACTGTGGCTCAGCCTGTCACTCCTACATGAATGTCACACCATCACCAAAGATTGGTTGGAGAAGTTCCTGAATGATGTGATTAAAAAAAAAGTTGTAGCGATCACAGGTGAAATCCAGCTTTCTGCAACTAACTAGATCTGTGATCTAAACCAAGTGCTATAACTTAGGTCACTCACTTTTTATCTATAAAACAGGCATATCACCACTTACCTTAGAGTGGCTGAAAGTCTTGCATGAGGTACCATGTGGAAATTGCCTGGCACAAAGCCTGTGCTCAGTAAACAGCAGCGAGGATGATGACTAACTGGTTAGAAAAAACTGAGTCAGCCCAGATGTGGGAGCCAGAAAACACCTGTGAGTCCCTGGCTGCAGTTAGTGGGGCAGCTGGGATTGGCTCTCTCGTTAAGTCTAGCTGGTTGGTAGAATTGACAGTCCCCTCATTAGGGCTCCATATACCTTATTTGCATGGTTCCACTCTGACATGGGTTCCATGCACCTTATTTGCATTAGCAGCAAGGTGTGCAATCTCCTTGTTGGTCCACAAGCACTTTATTTGCATAGTCCCAGGCAGTCACTGTGTGGGAGTCACAAAGACTATGGCTAGAAGGACCAGATTAAGTAATTCAATGTACCACATAGACCCATGGTTCCCACAAACCTTTACAGTCTGTAACCATTTCTTATGCAAAAAATATCCAAGGATTGATTGTTCAACCCTTTGATCACCACTAGGAGTCAGGGGGAAATATATATATATGTCCATATATATATAAAATATAAATATATGTGTATATATGTACACATATACACATATGTACAAATATATTTAAATATATATAGTATGTGTGTTATATACACATGTATTTACAAATATATAAATGTATATACATAGTATAAGTGTGTGTGTGTATGTTGTTAGTTGTGTCGAGTCAGCTCTGACTCACGGGGACCCCGTGTACAACAGAATGAAATGTTGTCCAGCCCTGCACCATGTTCACAATTGTTGGTATGCTGGCATCCATCATTGCAGCCACTGTGTATGTTGAGTGCCTTCTGAGCCGGGGGGCTCATCTTCCAGGACTGTATTGGCCCTCACCCTCCCTTCATGATTTGAGGGGAGGATAAGAACATGGTGTTTACCCTTGAGGCCGCCAGGCACGAGTGAGGTCACAGGGCTCCTCAGATGTGTGGCAGTCACTAGTCTGGGAAACTGAAGCCCTATTGTTTCTCCACAGATGGAGGGGGGATGGAAGGGGGGAATCAGACCACACTGGCCTTGCTGGGCGAGACCATCTGACACACGTGCCTCCAAGCTCAGCTCCTCTCCCCTGGCTGCCTGGTGACTCCGGCCTCTGCCCAAGGGCTCACACTCAGCTTCTGGCTATAATTTCAGGGAAAACCGTGCCCACGCCCAAGAAGGGGTTGGTGCCCAGAATGGGAGCTGTGAGACCCGTGTCCCAAGGTCAGCTGCAGGAGGCCCTGGTATGGTGGCTGCCTTCAGAGGTGACCGTTCAGAAGAACATTGCACAAGTGAGGGCTTCTCATGATGTCTGGGGGACCACCCACCCTCCAGGCAGGACTCGCCCAGTAGAGCACAGTAGCTCGCGGACAGCGTCCTGGTGGTCAGGTTTCTCAGTCAAACATGCCTGCCGTGCGGACCGACAGTTCTAGTCAGCCTCTCCCCCTCAAAGGCCGCAGCCACTGTAGTGAACACATGTGCCCTCTGGTTTCCTCTTCCCTGCCTGACACCACAGGTGATTCTGCACCCTGTTAGCACATGAAAGGAATCCCGGGGGTGCAAACTGTTAACGGGCTCAGCTGCTAATTGAAAGGTTGGCAGTTCGAGTCCACCCAGAGGTGCCATGGAAGGAAGGCCTGGTGATCTACTTCCGAAAAATCAGCCACTGAAAGCCGTATGGAGCACAGTTCTACTCTGACACGCATGGGGTCGCCGTGAGTCAGAGTTGCCTGGATGGCAGCTGGTGATAGCAGATGAAGGCCAAGTCATTTATCTTTGTTTTACTTATTTAAAAAGGACTTCTTAAAACTTCTGTCCGTGGTAGGTATACAGACACGTGCCCTGCACTGTCCCGACATGGTAAGCACTAGCCCCTGTGGCTCTTTAAAATAATTAAAATAAACTAAAATTAAAAGCTGGCCACATTTTAAGTACTCATCAGCCACATGTGGCTAGTGGTGACTCTTTGGGATGGTGCAGACCCAGAACATTTCTATCATCATAGGCGGTTCTGTCGACCAGAGCTGCTCTAGGTTTTCTTTTCACACTTGTTCTGTCTTCTAGGCCAGGATATCAAGTCAGACGGCTTCAGCACTGAGACCTGCAAAATCATGGTGGACATGCTAGACGTATCCTTTCACGCATTCCAGAGAACGGAGATGGGTGGGGCGTGAAAGCTCGCTCTGAGAATACTCGCACCCGCTGCCTTCTCCCCCTGCAGCATGGCCCGCTCTGCTCCACTTGCCGAGCTGCGGGGACTCTTATCAGCGCTGGCCTCCCTATGAGGGAAACGTGAGCAAGCCACGTCCACTGCTGTGTAGACTCTGACTGCAGGAAGTCCCCAACAGCACACCCACTGTTTCTGCTACAGCAGCGTGAAGGTGCTTCCTGAGTGGAAGTGTTCCCCTCCTTCCCTTGGAAAACATCCCCTGAACCGTAATATTTCTGATGTCTGTTTTCTCGGGTCAGGATTTCCTCGCAGGCCATGAGTGTTCTCCTTGCCCTTTGCTCTGGCTCCTTCACAGGACACTGAGCAGCTGGCCCACTGGCCCCTAAGGCAGCCTGTCGTCCTCACCCTCTTGCTCCTGCTGCTTGACCAGCAGTAACGGTAAGGGGCAGTCTAGGCTCTCAGAAGCTTTATCTACTAGTGGTCTCACGGCAGGCACCGCTGTGTAGTTCCCCTCACAGAAGACCTCTTGGAAATCCTCCAAGAGATGGCAGAAGCCCACCCGTTAGAAGCCATCCGAAGCTCTCTGTCATCCTATAGCTCGTTTCAGCAGGGTCTGCGTCCCCTCAGCATCCCCCATCAAAGCAGCCACCTGAACCAGCAGAGAGCGGGCACATCTCTCTCACCCTTTCTCCAGCCCTTTTGACGAGGATTGGTCAGTGTGAAAAGCCAGAGTGGAGTCCTTCTGAAGTCTCCGTGTGGCTGTGCTGTGATTAGCAGGTTCATCTAGTTGAGAGGACAAAACAGGTGCCCAAAGGAGCCCAGACGGAAGGCGCTTTCCTTAACTGAAGGCAGTCGGATGGGAGTGGAAAGCTGGGGCTGAAGGAGTTCTACATTCTCTGGACGAAGATTCAAAACTACCAAGTAAGATCCCAAAGGACCAGACGGGAGGGCTGGGGTCTGGGTTGGGGGCATGCTGCGCACACACCTTAAGATGCAGCAGCTCTTCCGGGGGTGGAGGCTGGGCCGTTGCCATGATGGAGCCCAGACGCAGTAAAGGCGGGCTGGGCGAACGTGGTCAGTCACCTAGAAAAGCCCAAGGATGTGGCGTGTTCAGTGGTCCCTCCTCTGCCTGATGATTTACCTGAAGTGGGGACATCTAAAAGCACCACCAACACTACCTGGAAAGGCTGTGTGGCCCCTTGTAACTTGGACTTTTGACAGCTCAAGTACAAAAATGAAGCTAAGACAATAGCATGGGCCCAGGTGTATGGCTGGTTGGTTGAGAAGCACAGAATGGTGAGGACTTTGTGAGAGGCAGCCTGCTGAGCCTGCTTACCAGGACAATAGAATGAACTGGCCCCACGAAACCCACAAAACCTTCCTAAGCTTTCTCAGACATATTTACAACTCAGCTCACCAAAACTCAACCCGTTGCCATCGAATCGATTCTGACTCAATGACCCTATAGGACAGAGTAGAACTGCCCCATAGGGTTTCCAAGGCGGTAATCTTTATGGAAGCAGACCACCACATCTTTCTTCTGCAGAGCAGCTGGTGGATTCGAACCGCTGACCTTTTCAGTTGGCAGCTGAGGGCTTCATCACTGCCCCATGAGGGCTTCTCTGCCCAGCTCAGAGAGAGAGACAAAATACTATTCGCTATTTAAGGCAGAACCATGGGTGACTCTTCTAAGGGCAAACTGGAAGTCCAAAACTGGAAAAACTATCCCCATTCAGTTTTACTTTGGGCCATGGTTCTTACAACTATTTTGCGTGTTCCAGAAAATTTACCGGGAAATCGACGTTGACAAGTCTGGTACTATGAATTCCTATGAGATGCGGAAAGCATTAGAAGAAGCAGGTAACACTTCATAACCATTTCCTTCCCTTTGTTTTGTCTGTAGAGTCAGGGGAGACACTGTACACATACAAAATTTGGTAGGCTGTAAAGTAAAGGAGGTGCTGGCTGAATACAAACATCCTTGGTCAAATAAAACGCGGTCCCCGATGCTCTGCCCTCTACTGTCGCCTTCTTGAATCCTCATTTCTTTCCAGACAGTCTGGCAGGTCAGGCAGGCAGATCCAGTTCTCAGCAACTACCCTCGACGACTCCTTTCAGGTGTAATGTCTTAGTCCAGCCCTGAGGGTACATCGCTAGTGGAAGTAGATATCAGTGAAGAGGGTACAAGCTTGTGGTACCAGCAGAGTGGGAGACAGGAGCACTTTGGGGACTACAGCTATGAAAACAGTCAAAGTAGGCTAAAAGTCCAAATTCAGGGCGTCAGCTCCAGGGGAAGGCTTTTTCTCTCTGTTGGCCTTCTTCTCTTTGGTGTGCCCCCAGACTAGGAGCTTCTCTGCACAGGGACCCCGGTCCAAAGGATGCGCTGTGCTCCCAGCACTGCTTTCTTAATGGTATGAGGTCCCCCTGTCTCACTGCTCACTTCTGTCTTTTGTATCTCAAGAGATTGCCTCAGGACACAATCCAGTCTTGTAGATCAGGTCCTGCCGCCCATCCTCCGTCATTAACATCATAGAGGCAGGTTTACAACATACAGGAAAATCACACAGTACCAGGAATCAGGGCCCGGCCAAATGGATACACACATTTTTGGGGGGACATAATTCAATCCATGACACAATCCAAGCTCAAGTCATCCCAGGCTGGGCTGGTGCCGCCATGCTGTCAGGGACCTGCGCTCTTTCTGTCATGTTGCATCACCACCCCTGAGAGTGTCGTCTTCATCCACGTGACCCAGGATGTCTTGCCACCACAGCCACCTCAGGGTGAAAGAAGAGGGGAAGGACAGGCCCCTGCCCCTAAAGGCACACCCCACTCTGCTCACATCCCACTGGCCAGACCTTCGTCCCAAGGCTGCAGACGGCTTCAAAGGAAGCCGGGAAATGCACTCTTTATTCTAGGCAGCCGTGGGCCCACTCTCCCCGTGGGAGAGTTGATATCGGGCGCTGTAAGCAGTTTCTGCCACAGGCATCCAGGAAGAATCTAGTCTCCAAGACGATGGTGAGCTAAACAAAACAAAGGAAGCATGGCTAACACAAAACAGCGTGGGCCACGGAAGTAGGAACAAGCAAGAAAGTCTTGGGGAACAGGAATTAGGTTTGCCCCGAGCAAAGGGTAGTGGTGCTGAGGAAGTGAGGCAGTAGGAGGAAACAGGCAGGTGAGGGTGAACAGGGAAAATAAAACAGCGGAAGGTACTGGCTTTGCAAAACCAGCCTCAGCAGCCAAGAGGCAAAGCAGTTATCATTCTCATTTGCGTGGGCACGTGGGTTCTGTAACCCGTGAACAGGGCTACGTGGCGCGGTCTCCTACCGAGCAGTCAGCGTGTCTGTTCACTGTCACCTCAGGCTTCAGGCTGCCCTGTCAGCTCCACCAAGTCATCGTGGCTCGGTTTGCAGATGACCAGCTCATCATCGACTTTGACAACTTTGTCCGGTGTTTAGTTCGACTGGAGACGCTATTCAGTAAGTGGAGATTTCGAGGGAAACCCATTTCCGTTCTCTCAGTATTAATGCTGACTGCCTTTCATGACAGTGAAATCATCTGGCCCGGAGACACGTCGGTCCACGAGTTGAGAATGAAGTTCCCTTCTTAATTAATTTGGGGATGGAGGGAGGAAATAATAGCTTGTGACAGTCAGTGAAATCACCTGCCACATTGAGGGAAGAAGATAATGTGACCTGCGTTTCAGCCGATGCATTTATAACATCTTCTTCTTCCTTTACAGAGATATTCAAGCAGCTGGATCCTGAGAACACTGGGACAATACAGCTCGACCTTATCTCCGTAAGTCAGCAGCTTTCTGCCCTTTGCACGGGCCAGTCCCTCCTGAGGACAGAGGAGAAGGGCTGTAACCTGAGTAGCAGAGACCTACAGCTTGTTGCCTGACTTTTGGAAACTCCACTTTAAAAAAGCCTTTTGGTCTGCCAGGAACAGGCCTATGAAGGGTTATGAGATCCCACAATGCACTGTTACTTACAGTGGGTTCCCAACTGCCTGTTGATTCTCAAGTTCAAGAAAACACACCTGCTCCCTGGTCCCATGAGCTCTGAGTTGAGTTGAGAGCAAGGTTAAAATAAGGAGGAAAGAGGATCCCTGTTAGAAAAAACAAACTAATTAGCATGCGTGGGAGATGGTGCTTCTGTAACAAAAACCCTTAGAAGAAATTCATCTTGGGTCTTGGAGAGATCTGTCATTCTTAGAAGAGATCTACTTAAAATACCTTCTGAGCAAACTGTTTTTGTCTATTCCTCCCCCTTTTAAAAAGAAAACTAATGATGGTAAATAAGCTCGCCATATAGACTTACCGGTCTCATGATCTGGAACCCCCGCAACACTCACCTCTGAAATGATCATCAGTCGTAATTAAGTCGGCATTCCAGTTTGACAAAAAGCAGAGTACAGCGAGAGGATAGAAAGTTCTCTCCCGTCACAGGGAAGGAGCCAGGTGGGTAGACTTACCCTTCACCTGGCTCCACGTTCGGGACCTGAGCCTGCAGCATCACAGGCTGCAAAGGGGCCAGCACTGGCCGGGGACGGCAGAGTAACCAGCCCCGTCCCCATGTAACAGAGAGAGATGGGCGGGACGGTGAAAGGGACAGGTCTTCGGGTCTGGCACCTCTTTTTCTTGAGTTTTGAATTTTGGAGGAAGCTAGGCACTCAAGTGTTTCACTCTGCTGTGACGCAGTGCCGTTGGCCAACTGAAAGTACATCTTAACTGGTTTCGGGTGGTTAACACTAACTTGCTTAAGGCCTTAGGAAGCCTGGGAAGTAGCCCTCCCTTGAGACTGTAATCTCAGTAGGGTTAACACAACTGTGAACGTGCCGTAGGTTAAGTTCCGGAAACTCTAGCCTTTCTTTCTTTCTTGCTGGATATCCTGTCCCCCCCAGGTCCCCCTCTGTCCACACTGGCCTGCCGACGTAGTCTGCTCCCATCCCCCTTCCGCAGAGAAACATCTCGTGCGCTGGCTTTCCCTCCTGTTCCTGAGCGTCGCCTGCATGGGCTCCGGGAGGCTCCACACTCTGGCCGTCTTTGTCCACGGGGAGCAGCGTCAAGCAGATCTCCCCGCAGTGTGCAGAGCTTTCAGCCTCGTATTCTTTAAATCACCTGGGAGCTCTGAAACACTCCTGATGCCCAGGCCCTGTCCCAGACCGATGAAATCAGAGCTGATTTAAAGTTCCCAGGCCATCCCAAGGTAGAACCAAGGTTGAAAATGACTGGTTTAGGGGCTGTTCACACCCCAGATGAACTTTGATGTGACTGGGCTGAGGCAGAGAGCAGTGAAAACGCTCACTTATGCATTGTCTGAAGTTGAGGTTGCATGTTCTCAGTTCGTCCTGTAATAGGATCTGTGACCGCCTGCTTCAGCATCGCACCGACTACTGACCTGCAAAGTGCTAGATGCTAGAAGTTAGGTAGAAAAAACGTGACTTAGTACAAGGACTCTTAGCCCTTGATCAGTTTCTCTGATAACAAAAGTCTTTCAAAATAATAAGCAGATATGCAAATAGCCTTTAATTTAAAAAAATCGTCACTGAACTGACTTGAGGGGAGCTCTGGTGGCGCAGTGGTTAAGCGCTCGGCTGCTAAACAAAACGTGGGTAGTTCGAACCCACCAGCCACTCCTCAGGAGAAGGATGTGGCAGTCTGCTTCCGTAAAGATTACAGCCTTGGAAATCCTATGGGGCAGTTCTGCTCTGTCCTACAGGGTCGCTGTGAGTTGGAATCGACTCGACGGCAGTGGGTTGGTTTGTGTTTTGGGAACTGACTTCTTTCTTTCTCCTTCACAGTGGCTCTGCTTCTCAGTACTTTGAAGTGAATTAACTATTCTGCCTGAAGACTTTTCAAGAAAGAAAACCAAGGACTAAGCTTCCACAGAGAAATACTTTTTATCTGGACCTTGAAATCATGGGAACATTTACTGAAAGTGATTATTATAGCTGAAAATAATGATGCTGTCTATCTGAGAGAGCAGACCTTTCAGGTATCAAAGTAAAAGATTTGCACAGCATTGTAATAAATGCAAGAGTGAGCCGCCTAACCCTGGCTAAGCTTTAAATCTGTAAATAGTATACACTTTTTACTTTTACACACTTTCCTGTTGATAGCAATATTAAATCAGGAACAAATGCAGGGAGGTATTTAACAGCTGAGCAAACAACACACCATCTTAAGGGACACTAGGCCCTTGCTGAGAATATTTAAAGCAACTTTAATGTTAACAATGCAGCTGTGGCTTCTGCCAACCAGCAGCCCAGGGTTTGTCACTTGAGCAAATGGGAATACCTGACAGGTCAGGAAATAACCTTGTCAAGGCATCGACATCCAGACAAGAAATCTTACCTCCGTCATTCAGGTTAAACCAGAGACGGGTTTTATATGATACTGATTGGTAACAGTAGTTCTTCTTCTCAAACACACAAGTCCTTGAGCATATTTGGCCTTACGCATTTAGTATTAATATAAACGTGGAAGGGGCTCCGCTCTTGATCTAACGCTGTTTGCCGCCGTAAAACTTTAACCTTTACCACCTCTAGTGTTTGTGCACGGAGTTAGGGGGACATCATGCAGGGGTGCTTGTGGGAACAGCACAAGCATGTTTCCTGGCTTTACCTTGGGAAAATGCTAGCAATGTTTTACCAATTCTGCCTTATTGCGTTATCTTCTTCCAAATGTATTGTTCAAAAATAAAGAGCCCTGTGCAGCCACACCAGGCCGCGTGTTCCTTCCGGGAAGGGCGTCAGCGGGAGGGTTTCTGAGCACGCAGTGATGGGGTTTCCACTTTAACAAGGTGGCATACCTCTGCAGATTCACGTGTTGAGAGGAGAAAGCGTGTCACCTGTAACTGAAATGTGGAACTAGAGAATTTAAAAAATCCAATTCAGAAGCTCTGATAATTTGATCATTAAAGTAAGCTCAGCTCTAATTTCTGTTGCTTGTGGTCTCCTAAGGAGGCCCAGATGGACGCACAGGTACCCCTTCGGAAGTCCCCTGCTCTACCTGACGCCTAGATTTCACTTGGGTCAACTCCTGCGGGTGTGGGAACAAGCAAGAGGGGTGCCGAGAAAACATACAGATTAAATCCTAGTCTGCTGTGGGTGGTCCTTGAGGACTCATAGAAAATGGAGATGGTGCAAGGTGACTGGAGACAGGTACATGCAATCCTAATACTTCATGAAAAGGTACCATGGATTTCCCAAACTCAGCTCGAATGAGTTTAAGGTCTTCCTGCTGGCAGATGGCTTTTGAGGGCACAGAGGAAGCTGGAGACCATGAGTATGTAGTAACCCTAATCCACTCAGAGATTTCTCTGTTCAGTGGCACAGGTTTAGGGATAGAGTCAATACGTCCCCAACTTACGATGTATTCAACTTACGACGAACCACACTCAGGACAACTGTCTGGTTCTGTTTTTGTACATCTTATCATTAGTAATACGTACTACACAGTGTTGTGGCATGTAATTTGCTAGTGTTATTCTCAAATGTTCACTCGCAGATGTTCAAAGACAAAGATTGGATTTATAAAGATACTGATACTAAAAGGCCATACTAATGAATAAAAAAAAAAAAAGGTGTTCGACTTACATCAGAACCGACAGGATGGAGTCGTCGGGATGGAGCCGCGTCGTAAACAGGGACCGCCTGTAGATGTTTGGGTGGATTCAGGATCGAGGGTGGGCAAGGGAAGTGTGGCTGAAGGGCTAGGGGATGAGGGGAGTGAGGGTGGGGACTAGAGTGGCTGAAATATGCAAACACCAGTTCTAGGCTGGGAAGGGATGGAAGTGAAGTCAGAGGGAGCTGAAGGTGGGCTCTGAGGAGAGGGAGGGGTCTTTACAGACTAGGTACGGAGGGCTGGAGGGCGGAAGAAGAACGGTGAGCCCTCCCGACCTGCATGGTGGATCCCCCACTGCAGTGCTGAGGGCCCTGCCTCCTCTGCACTTAATTCTATAGCTGACCTAGTTTACAACTTCATGTTTACATACAAGTTTCCTTAAGTCTCAGTATGAAAGATGATGGAAAAAAAAGATACATGCTTATAGCAAATTTAGAAAAGACTGAAAAGAGAAGGGGAAGGGACCACCCATAGTACCATCATCCAAAGACAGCGCTTGATACTTTGGTGTACTTCTTTCCAGTAGTTTTCCCATGCATATTGTTATGTAATTATAATTGTATATACGTATGAAGCCCTGGTGGCACAGTGGTTAAGAGCCTGGTTGCTAACCAAAAGGTCGATAATTTGAATCCACCAGCCGCTCCTTGGAAACCCTATGGGGCAGTTCTACTCTGTCCTGTGGGGTCGCTATGAGTCGGAATCCGCTCTGCGGCAACGGGTTTTGTTTGAAGTGCTTATGCATTCTAAAACACACTTACTGTACACACTCCTCTACCCTGACCTCCTCCCAGTCCAAGAAGCCAAACTTCCTGAGAAGCTGTCTGTTATGGATTGAATTATGTCCCCAAAAATGTGTGTCAACTTGGCCAGGCCGTGATTCCCAGTATTGTGTTATTGTCCACATTTTGTCATCTGATATGGTTTTCCTGTGTGTTGTAAATCCTCTCTCTATGACGTTAATAAGGCAGGATTAGAGGCAGTTATGTTAATGAGGCAGGACTCAATCTATACGATTAGGTTATGTCTTAAATCAATCTCTTTTGAGATATAAAAGAGAAGCTAGCAGAGAGACGGGGACCTCCTACCACCAAGAAAGCAGAGTGAGCAGCATGCATGTCCTTTGGACCTGGGGTCCCTCTGCTGAGAGCCTCCTAGAGCAGGGGAAGATTGATGACAAGGACCTTCCCCCAGAGCCAAGAGAAAGCCTTCCCCTGAAGCTGGCATCCTGAATTTGGACTTCTAGCCTCCTAAACTGTGAGCGAATAAAATTCTTTGTTAAAGCCATCCACTTGTGGTATTTCTCTTACAGCAGCACTTAATAACTAAGGCACTGTCCACACTAGATCTCTTCATTCCTTTCCCACTGACTCCTTAACGGACTACAATCTGGCTGATGGTCCTACTAAATTGCTGCTTGTTATGATTACCAATCATCTCCTAACACCCAGTCTTGCTGCCTTGAACACCATTCACTGTTCCCTCTCTGTTCTCCTGGGGTTTCCTTCTGCTTCATTGCTCTCAGGACTCCATGTCACATGATCCTCTTCCTCTGCTCCCTTAATTAAAATTCCTCAGTGGCTCCACAGCCTTTAAAATCTGTACACAGCTCAAATTTACACTGTCCTCTTTAGCACAGCACGTGCTCCAACTGCTTTCCCCCTATATTTTCCATAGACCCCAAAACTCTGTATCTTAGGCTGGGTTCTCTAGAGAAGCAAAACCAGTAAAGTGTATAAATATATAGAGAGAGGGAGATTATATCAAGGAAACAGCTCGTGTGATTGTAGAGGCTATAACGTCCCAAGTCCGTGGATCAGGGTAGAGGCCCCTCCCAAGTCACACAGCTGCAGGAGCTGGCAAGCCCAAGATCAGCAGGTTGGAGAGCAGGGCCCCCGCTCACAGGCTGTGCAGATCGACGAATCCCAGGTTCGGCAGATAAGCTGACAGCTCAAGTCCCAAGAACAGGAGATGAGACGACAGGAAGCAGCCACAGGATCGAGAGAGAGCAAAAAGCCAGAATGTCTGCTTATATACAGATGCAGGCCACACCCCCCAGGAGACTCCCTTTCATCTGATTGGCTACTCACAGTATAGTTAATCATGGGAGTGATTACATTAAAACACTGAGAATCATGGCCCAGCCAAGTTGACACACAATCTTAACCATCATAGTCCACCCCTTGTCAACCTGGCACATGTACGCATCTCCTTACACCATATATAATCTCTGAATAAAGACAATTAGAAAGTCATACTTGCGCCTAACATGATACAACTAACACGCGTACAATCGAAAATGCACTAGCCCCGTTTACAGCTTATATTTTATAAGTGAAAGAAACAAAAATATTTGATGCACACATACAAAGTAGAAATATAACAATTACAGTCCCCACTTCTGCAACTGGTCACATGGCCGTAACTGGTATTTAGAACTACCTTCTTCCACCACCCATTCTGTATTCCCTTTGCCCTCAGCCAGCACCTCAGCTGGTCGTGGTTCTTTGCCTGAAGGGTCTGGGTCATTAGTAGTCATGTCAGAATTAGGTTGCTGTAGTTTTCAATTGACTTTAATCACAAGGCATGGTAGTACTGAGACGCCCCGAGGAATCTCCTGCATTCCAGACATACTCTTCTTTACCTCCATTATGTGATATCAGTCTGATTTCTTCTTGGTAATCAGGATCAGTCACACCAGCCAGTATGGTAACTCCCATCTTTGCCTGTTGATCTAGAGGCATAAGGAGCACAAAGTGGCCAGGTGGCATTCTTAACTTCCAGTTCAATGGAGTCAGTGATGTGTCTCCAGGTGGGAGCATTCCTCCCTTTGGAACTAAGACCTCTAGGCCTGCAGAGCATAAGGTCGAGGGGACAGGAAGCAAAAATCTTGCAAGTGGGTCACTAGGGGTAATAGTGAGTGGTGTCACTCCCATTTCCACCCCTTGATTCCTGGACCTGCGAATCCTGGCTATGGGAGAAAGAGCACCATATATTGGATGCTGGTTTAAAGCATATACAGCCTCCTGGAGAACACTGCCCCACCCCTGCAAGGTACTGCCACCTAGCTGGTGCCGTAATTGTGTCTTTAGAAGGCCATTCCATCGTTCTATCAAGCCAGCTGCTTCAGGATGATGGGGAACATGGTAAGACCAGTGAATTCCATGAGCATGGGCCCACTGATGCACTTCATTTGCTGTGAAGTGAGTCCCTTGATCTGAGGCAATGCTGTGTGGGATACCATGACGGTGGATAAGGCATTCTGTAAGTCCACAGATGGTAGTTTTGGCAGAAGCATCGCATGCAGGGAAAGCAAATCCATATCCAGAGTAAGTGTCTATTCCAGTAAGGACAAAACGCTGCCCTTTCCATGATGGAAGTGGTCCGATGTAATCAACTTGCCACCAGGATGCTGGCTGATCACCTCGAGGGATGGAGCCATATCGGGGACTCAGTGTTGGTCTCTGCTGTTGGCAGATTAC